GAGTCAGAGTAGCAGCCGTGTTAGTCTGTATCCGCAAAAAGAAAAAAAATACTTTGTGGTACCTTAGAGACTAACTAACAAATTTATTTAAGCATAAGCTTTCGTGAGCTACAGCTCACTTCATTAGATGCATGCAGTGAAAAATACAGTGGGGAGATTTTATATACACAGAGAACATGAAACAATGGGTGTTACCATACACACTGTAACAAGAGTGATCAGGTAAGGTGAGCTATTACCAGCAGGAGAGGGGAAAAAAAACAAAACAACCCTTTTTAGTGATAATCAAGGTGGGCCATTTCCAGCAGTTGACAAGAACATGTGAGGAACAGTAGGGGGGAGGGAAATAGTTTTTCTTTGTGTAATGACACATCCACTCCCAGTCTTTATTCAAGCCTAAATTAATGGTGTCCAGTTTGCAAATTAATTCCAATTCAGCAGTCTCTCATTGGAGTCTGTTTTTGAAGTTTTTTTTGTTGAAGAATTGCAACTTTAGGTCTCTGAGTGACCAGAGAGATTGAAGTGTTCTCCGACTGGTTTTTGAATGTTCTAATTCTTGACATCTGCTTTGTGTCCATTTATTCTTTCTTAGAGACTGCCTGGTTTGGCCAATGTACATGGCAGAGGGGCATTGCTAGCACATGATGGCATATACCCATTGGTAGATGTGCAGGTGAACGAACCTCTGATAGTGTGGCTGATGTGATTAGGCCCTATGATGGTGTCCTCTGAATAGATATATGGACTCAGTTGGCAACAGGCTTTGTTGCAAGGATAGGTTCCTGGGTTAGTATTTTTGTTGTGTGGTGTGTCTTATTTGTTTCAATAATTTGTTTCATTGTCAGAATCATAGAGAATCTGTGTGGATTTGAACCAGTTCACCTAGGAGCCTAATCAGCTTTCTTTAAATTAACTTTTCATTTTCACACAGCTGCCCTTCATTCATTATAGATTTTAGTTTTTCCCTGTGTTACAAAATAAACCTGTTCATAAACTGACACTAGTGTAAATAATTAAATTTTCTAAGAAGCAATTGGTAATTAGCTATGCATCTGGAGGCTGGCTGAGAAACAGCCTTCATCCAAATAGGTCCAGCTTTAAGGTCTTTCTCCCTAAGTGTTGATTTGGGAAGCCCTTGTTTAGGATTTGGATCCCTGGAGAGTAGCTACAACAAGAGATCCTTGTTACAGGGGGAGAATAAAAGTACTCAAATCCTTTGGAAGGGGCTTGATAACTTTTTGTCAGAACATTTGGATATGGCTTGAATTGATGCAGGGGGTCTTTTGGAAGCTCCAGTAATCCCCTTATTTATCAGTATGGCCAACCTACCAAGCAAGGAAGGGAGAGTGCAGAATGTCTAGCAGTTTGTGTGGTTTCTCTTGCACCTCCTCCACTGTTATGTCAAGAGCCTCTGCCATGCGTTTAATATGTTGGAATGCCTTAAAATCATCAACTGGAGAAGACTTTGGAGGGTTCACTGCCTCATTAGGGAAGGATAAGGGAATTGTGGCCGGGATTAATTGTTCTCCCTCATCTGCCTGGTGTACGTGTCTCTCTTCCTCCCGTCTCTTTAGTATCTGAGGCTGTATTAATTGGCTTGGCTGGAAAGATCTATATTGCCTCTTTGGAGAAGAGGATCTAACCCTGGGAGTGGGGGCAGTAGCTATTGGCTTGCAAGTATGGGGGTTGCATACCCCAGGGTGCCTAGTAGGGCCAAGGTTGATAGGCACATGAATCTTGGACTGATGGAAGCAGAGAAGGATACTTGGGGGCTGGTCTCTGAGGTCCATGCCTTTTCCTGCTGAGAGCAGTCCCTAGAGTCCCTCCTGGATTCCCATTGTGATCCCCTTGAAGGGATAGGAGGGTGAGTGTGAAAGGAACCCTCCTGTACACCGATGGGGAGGATGAGAAGGAACACACCGTCTCCACAGGTGAGGCTACCCTTTCAGGCATATTAGGGCACTCTGATGTCACTTATACTCAAGTAGACGATAGAGTTGGTATTACCTATTTTGTTTGTGTTACCGAGATCTCAGTGACCAGTAGTCTGACTAGCACCTTTCAGCCTATCCAGCAAAGTGACTCCTGTATTGGGGCCCACAGCTAAATCACCCAGTACAGACGTGTGCCCTAGGTGCCAATAGGGATGGTGCTGAGGAACTGGCTAGTGAGGAGGTAACTACCAGAAGAAGGATGATCCAGAGGTGCAGTGGAGATACTATAGGCACCTGTTTAATAGTTGGTACCAAGGCACCAGAGGGTTCTTTCTCAGGATGTTGGCTTCCCTTTGAGTTTGAGAAGAGTGAGACCTATGGTGATTTTTGTATCTGTTTTTTATGGGGCCTGGGGGAGGGTGACCTGTGTCTCAACTCAACTCTGGAGTGATGATCCCTCCTGCACCTTTCCGAAGCTATTGCGACAGAGATTGAAGCCCATGACTGGGGTCCAATGTTTCCCTGGAGCTTGGGGTAGAATCATGGCTCTCCAGGGTGCTCATTAAGAGGGACTGGGCAGGGGACTGTGCCTTTGTTACGTCCTTCCTTTCTGTGTTCAAAGAGGCCTTCCTGGAGCACTCAAGAAGGAATAATCTCAGTTGCGCTTCATGGGCCTTTGGAAAATGAGTGGCAGATGGAGCAGCACTCTGGAATATGCCCCTTGCCTAAACAAAAAAGCACCTAGAATGCCCATCACTTAGTAGTATAGAAAGTCATATGAGGGGCAAGATTTAATCTCTGGATTTTTAGCACAGTGGTTTAGTTTTTCTTTACTGGTTTCTAGGAAAGCAGATGGACAGTGCAGTGGTTCAGTCTTGCTGCCATGGGTGATAAGAAAGAACTGAGGGACAGTAGGGACTGCGCCTGCCCTTTTATACCCTTGGATGGTGGGAGGACCTGTAGGGGCGTGGCCCCAATGGACCCTGCTGGCCAAAAGAATCCAGTCTCGCATGCGTGAGCACCAAAAGAGGGATCCATGTGGACAAATACTCAAAGATGAAATATGGTTTACTCATTTCCCAAGCTATAAAATTTCTTCTCAAGCCTATCTTCAAGAAAAGTCTTTATTTTCACAAAGACAAAAGATTAATAGAAGAAAATAGATTAATGTTTGTCAGCATATCTTCTACATAATATTCATGTCCATATCCTTAGTGGTCAAAATATTAGAGAAGCACTTGTTTTCAGTTTTTGTATAATGGCTTTTTAAATTCCTTCCTTGTTTGGTGAGGATTCTTCAGTGCCCTTTTCTGTACATTCCTCGTGAAGCTCTGGGACTGCCACTGTCAGACAGAAGTTACTGGGCTAGATGGACCATTGGTTTGACCCAATATGTCAGCTCTTATGTTCCAAACTAGGTACTGATCCAGCCAACTCAGATCACTAATGCAAAATCAATCTCCCTCCTCTCCTCCCCTCCCCCCCTCCCCCGCTAGAAGGCATCTACTAATGTGTTTATCAGTTCAAATTTAATGTGAAGCCTTGTATTTCTTTATTGGAACAGATTCTGATAATGGAACCTGTCATAAATGTAAAGGGAAGGGTAAACACCTTTAAATCCCTCCTGCCAGAGGAAAAAGCCTTTCACCTGTAAAGGGTTAAGAAGCTAAGACAACCTCGCTGGCACCTGACCAAAATGACCAATGAGGAGACAAGATACTTTCAAAGCTGGAGGGGGGGGGGGGGGAACAAAGAGTTCTCTCTGTCTGTGTTGTCTTTTGCCGGGACCAGAGCAGGAATGCAGGTCAGAACTCCTGTAAAGAGTTAATAAGCAATCTAGTTAGATATGTGTTAGATTCTGTTTTGTTTAAATGGCTGATAAAAGAAGTTGTGCTGAATGGAATGTAGATTCCTGTTTTTGTGTCTTTGTAACTTAAGGTTTTGCCTAGAGGGATTCTCTATGTTTTGAATCTGATTACCCTGTAAGGTATTTACCATCCTGATTTTACAGAGGTGATTCTTTTTCTTTTTCTTTAATTAAAATTCTCCTTTTAAGAACCTGATTGCTTTTTCATTGTTCTTAAGATCCAAGGGTTTGGGTCTGTGTTCACCTATGCAAATTGGTGAGGATTTTTATCAAGCCTTCCCCAGCAAAGGGGGTGTAGGGCTTGGGGGGATTTTGAGGGGAAAGACATTTCCAAATGGGCTCTTTCCCTGTTATATTTGTTAGACGCTTGGTGGTGGCAGCAAAAAAGTCCAGGGACAAAAGGTAAAATAGTTTGTACCTTGGGGAAGTTTTAACCTAAGCTGGTAAAAATAAGCTTAGGGGGTTTTTCTTTCAGGTCCCCACATCTGTACCCTAGAGTTCAGAGTGGGGAAGGAACCTTGACAGAACCACATATATTTTTTTTGATTCAGATTCAAATTGAGAGCTATTCCCTGGCTGATAAGGGAGCAGGGACACTATGGGCTAAAAGTATAATGTAACATTTGCTTTAAAAATTATTTGTTTATAAAGTAATAAATCTTCATGGAGTTTATCAAAGGAGAAAATGTCAATGAGGGAAAAATGCTTTATGCTTTATTAATTTTCCATACGTATTCGATAATAAATGTCTCAAGAAATGTAAAGTAGTCCCAATTAGGGAATGATCCTTTCATCTCCAAGGATGATAGATAAGGGAAAAGGCCAAATTTGGTTGGTTATTCACGATTCCTTATTCAGGTTCCCAGGTAATAATGCAAAGGCTGAAGTTGGTTATTTGCACATTGTGAATCTGGGAGCATCAACTATACTAAATTCATATTGAATTTCATAATACGTAGTACTTATCCATATATGTACTGCACAACTGCCCTGTTATATGGCACTTACACAGTTCCCCACTGTACTGAGGGAATAGTAATGAGGAACAAGGCCCTAATTATTCTCTTTGTGAAAGGACTTTCTGGATGGGGAAAGGTTTTACTTCTAATTCAAGTACATTGTTGTTGCAGCTGTTGTATTTGAGTGTTTTGTTGCTTTGAAGATTGTGCCACACTGAACTGCTGTCTGTCTCTTTGCAGTGCCAATCTTTCCAAAGCTGCTTGGGGAGCTCTGGAGAAAAATGGCACCCAACTGATGATACGTTCCTATGAACTTGGTGTCCTTTTCCTGCCTTCAGCATTTGTAAGTTCATAATTCAGCAACAAAAGCCAAGATACTGTGATAGGTTGCAAATGCTAATATCTTCCAAAAAGAGGATGTAATCACATTATTCTATCCCATTATATACTTGTTTATTATTTATTTTGTTTAATTTTGGGAAGGGGGGGAGTTAGTTATAGAACTTAGTGCTTTAAAGAAAACCCCCGTGTTTACCCATACATCAGGCAGGAATTTGGTACCTAAATGGGTTTTCGTAGTTTCCTTATGGTAAATACAGTAATATGCAATACTTTATGAATAAGATTCAGAATCTTTTGCTAACTCCTCTCTGAAATTACTAGACGCAACGAATCTTGCATCTTGGCAAGGGGTTAGACTAGATTAACCTTGAGGTCCCATCTAACCCTATGGTTCTATGATTCTTATGGACAGACTCTGTGTAACTCAGCAGAAATGTGGTGTCATACTTTCAGAGCTAATTAATCTCTATTTTTAAGATCTTTTGCTGCACCCATTTTGTTGAGTACAATGTCCTGTGGGCTCAGAAAGGGAGAACCATATTTTGCCACACATAAATTGTCATTTGGAGCTGAAAATAAAATTTCTAATCCCCTCTGATCACTCACTTTCCTGAAATCCACTGATGATGGCCATTGTACAGTTCCATCTTGCCCTTTCCCAGACTCACTGCTTTGTAAGAGCAGATTTTCAAATTTCTTTGTTACTGTGGTATCAGTAGTTTCCAATCTATTTATCAAAGGCAAAATTGGAAAGTTGAAGCATTGCTACTGGATATGCTCAGTAGATATTATCTCTCAGAACAGAGACTTGATGAGGGGAAGCAGTAGAACAGAGTACTGAGAGTGAGGAGGCCTGGGTTCCTTTCTTACTCTGCTACTTGGCTCATTGTAGGGCAAATAGGCAAAAATGTTCAAGTACATCCACTACATTTGCTTAGCTCAGTTTTTAGTTACCTTAACACTTATGGTCTGATTTTTCAGAGATATTAAGCATGCACAACTCCAGTTGAAGTCAGTAGAAGTTGCATGTACTTATCACCTCTGTCAATCAAGACTTAGCTATGTCTGGTTGGGTACCCAAATTTAGAGAAAACGTGTTTGAAAATTTTGGCTTTAACCTGTGTGAGCCTCACTTTCCTCATGCAAAACCGGGATAGATTTGTAAAGCTGTGTGAAATCTTCAGATGAAAAATGCCATATAATTGCAAAGTATTAGTATGTTGTTGCTGCTTTGCGTTCTACTTTTTTGTAGATGAGCATGCTAAAAATAATTCCGAGGTAGAAAACAAAACAAATCCTCAAAGGCTGGATAGTGCTACATGAATCTGTTGCTATCAATAGGATAGCAGCATCAACAGTTGGTCTTTCAGAAAGTGTTCAAATTCTCTCCTGCCTAAAGGCCTACAAAATTCATCCTATTCAGGGAGATGATTCTCTGGCTCCCGGAGAAAACAATCTATAGGATAAAAATTTTTCGGTGTATCTTCCATGGGAACAAAATTTCTCTTCATCCCTCCAAGATCATGTTCACCAAGCACATAATTTCATCACTTAATTTGACAGTATATAACTAACCAACAGAGCACTTTTAAAGAATGAGATTTTATGAAAATATTTATGCATAATAATTTGTAATTACAGTCTCTAATTGCTACAATAGAATTGATAGTTTCCTGCTTTGGCTTTTTATTATGGGAGAAGTGCCACATCACACTCTTGACACTTACTAAGCAATTGAAAGCAAGTATTGGGTGACTTCCAATGGTGGTAGTGGCATTTCCCTGATTTTTTTTAATCACTAAAATCATTAGGAAGTGAAATATGTTGCTCTCAGAAGTCCTTATGAATTACCGAAGACTCGTAATAACACCCTCAAATGCTGTTCTCCTGATGTACAACAGACCATTTTAGTGACAATGCTGGGTTGTGAAATAAGAACCTCATAATTCACTAGAAGGGGTGATAATTTTAGTTTCAATAAACTCTGTAAGAAATAGGAAAAAGAAGCTCATTTTAATAACTGCTGATGATAGATATGAAATGACTCAGGCAGAAACTATCGCCTGGCTGGGCCAAGATTTATTTGATGACTTTGTCAGCAGCTGACCTCAAGGGAATGAACAATGTTCTGGCAAACTGGCTTTTGCTGTCTACAGCTGCTGCCAAGCAAAGTGAGCTTACTTGAGACAATGGTGAGGCATTTAAAGGACAGATCTCTTTGCATTATTAACTCACATCTACTACAGATGGAACAAAGTCCAGTATGTGTAGGCAGTGGATTCCTGCTCTGTTTTCTTGCTTTCCCACATATATGCATTTATCAGTCTTAAAAAACATAATTCAAAAAACACAGGTGGGGACTAGCAAAGGTAAAAGTCCCCTCAGCCAAAGGGACTATGCTTATTTCAGAATCTGATGACTTGAGTAACAAGTAGAAATAAACTTGTTTCCCCAGGGCCACTCAATAATAATAACTAGCTGACAACCCTGTCGGTTGCACATGTGTAATTCAGAAACTCATGTGCCTCCATACGTCCCAAACATATTGATGTAACCAGAGCTGGGTAGTGTGGGCTGGGGCTGGAGCTGGAGCATAAGACCAGGAGGAACCTGGTGCATGGGCTCCCTATGAGGTGAAGCCTGTGTCTATGGTGGAGCATAATGGAAGCAGAGACAGGAAACAGCAGGACCCCCTGTGCCAGGTTGCAGCACCACTCAAATGTGGCCTGGCCCATCGTCCCTCCATCATGCCAGCAGGGAGGGCGCTCTGCCATTACACCACCCAGTTCTGCTAGTTCCTGCGTCCCCTATTGTAGAGGGGTGTCCTGACCTGCTCGCAACCAGAAAGCGGCCACAGTCTGATTGTGGGAACGGGGAACCAGTGGGATGGCGGGAACCAGAGCTGGGTGCTGTGGGGCAAACCCCCTCCTTCATGAGTGATGGAGAGTATAATGAAAGTGGTATTTAGCAGTGACCACACAGCTTTTCCAAGCACATACATTTAATCATAGAGTAAAAAGTATTACAGAGGAAACCTATTCAAACAAACAAACCAGACTTAAACCCACACTAAACCAACCAGAAATTACCCATTTTCCACAGGAGGAGTCTGATAGGCCAGCATCCCTTCCAACCCTTCAGCAAAAGTTGGGGCCGCCTCCTGTTGCTTGAGAAGAGGCAGCCCCGTCAGTTATATCAGAATCTGCAAAATCCAAGTGATATCTTGTTTTGAAAAGGCTGTAGCCCATACGGTTGCAAAGAAAGCCCTGCAAATGTGAATATAGTGCAAACTAGTGTTGGGTGTTATCTGCTGCAGACACAGGGCTTGAAACAGGAGCTGTAAAATAAGTGTGTTCTCCTTCTAACAGCTGCTTTAATTTATTGCACGAGGTTGAGGATATGAGTCTGTTTCTTCAAATCCCAAGACACATGAGAATAGGAACCCCAAGGAATTTGCAGAAACTCAGCGGCTTTGTTTATGCTAGGAAATTTTCCCTAAAATTGCATGCTAATCCTACCATGTAGAAAGGTTTTTGTTTTGTTTTGTTTTTTTTTCCACGGAGAACTCATGGAGGAAAGAGGAGAATACGGGGATTATTGACATGAGGTCTGTCTGGACATGAGGCAATTTCCTTCACTGATGCTCGCAGTGGTAGGAGCTCAGTGTATCTATCTCTCTGCCTAGCTTAGTGTCACTGGCAAACTTGCTGAGGGTGCAGTCCATCCCATCATCCAGATCATTAATGAAGATGTTGAACAAAACTAGCCCCAGCACAGACCCCAGGGGCACTCCGCTTGATACCGGCTGCCAACTAGACATCATGCCGTTGATCACTACCCGCTGAGCCTGATGATCTAGCCAGCTTTCTATCCACCTTATAGTCCATTCATCCAATCCATACTTTTTTAACTTGCTGGCAAGAATAATGTGGGAGACCCTATCAAAAGCTTTGCTAAAGTCAAGATATATCACGTCCACTGCTCTCCCCGTGTCCACAGAGCCAACTATCTCATCATAGAAGGCAATTAAGTTGGTCAGGCATGACTTGCCCTTGGTGAATCTATGTTGACTGTTCCTGATCACTTTCCTCTCCTCCAAGTGCTTCAGAATGGAGCAGGTCCTCAAGGATCCGTGATTTTTTCAGGGAGTGAGGTGAGGCTGACTGGTCTGTAGTTCCCCGGATTCTCCTTCTTCCCTTTTTTAAAGATGGGCACTATATCTGACTTTTTCCAATCATTCAGGACCTCTCGCAATTGTCATGAGTTTTCAAAGATAATGGTCAATGGCTCTGCAATCACATCAGCCAACTTCCTCAGCATCCTCGGTTGCATTGCATCTGGCCCCATGGACTTGTGCATGTCCAGCTTTTCTAAATAGTCCTTAACCCATTCTTTCACCACTGAGGTCTTCTCACCTCCTCCCCAGACTGTGCTGCCCAGTACAGCAGTCTGGGAGTTGACCTTGTTTGTGAAGTCTGAGGCAAAAAAAAGCATTGAGTACTTCAGCTTTTTCCATATCATCTGTCACTAGGTTGCCTCCCCCATTCAGCAAGGGTCCCACACTTTCTCTGACCTTCTTGTTGCTAACATACCTGCAGAAACCCTTCTTGTTACTCTTCACATCCCTTGCTAGCTGGAACTCCAGTTGTGCTTTGGCCTTCCTGATTATACCCCTGCATGCTTGAGCAATATTTTTATACTCCTCCCTAGTGATCTATCCAAGTTTCCACTTCTTGTAAGTTTTCTTTTTGTGTTTAAGCTCTCCGAAGATTTCTCTGCTAAGCCAACCTGGTTGCTTGCCATATTTGCTATTCTTTCTGCACTTTGGGATGGTTTGTTCCTGCGCTCTCAATAAGGCTTCTTTAAAATAAACCCAGCTCTCCTGGACTCCTTTCTCCCTCATACTAGCCTCCCAGGGGATCCTGCCCATCAGTTCCTTGAGGGAGTCAAAGTCTACTTTTCTGAAGTCCAGGGTCCGTATTCTGCTGCTCTCCTTTCTTC